AGCTCTTGCCTATTAACAATATTTGTTTATTCCCCTCGGCGTTAAAAAGAAAGAGTTAATAGAGAAACCCTAATTAAAGGAAGTTGTTTAAAATAATTTATAAGCTCGAGTTTTCGTTATAAATAAACCTGCTTAGAAATATAACCATCTTAATGCAAAATGTTTATTTAAACGTCAGTTGAAGTGAGTGGTGCAGTTAAAGCCGTGCCTTTAATCACGCAATAAAGACAACAATCGTCCGTATGTGGGCCGTCGATCGGCTGCTACATATATTTTCCATTTGGGACAAATACAACTGGCAAGGAAGGGAAGGGATGGGAAAATACAACACTATGGAGCGAGCAAACCGCCCAGGGGGGGTACTAAGGATTTCAAGCGACGGGGATGATCAAATGGAGCCAAAAGTCAAGACCCAAAAAAATCCTTAGGGCTTCCAGCAAAACCCAAAAAAATCCCTGGACCAAAAATTAACCCCCAAAAAATCCCATGCCGATTTGATGGCCCTTAAAAGTTCCAGAAAGGGGTAATGCTTAACCACAAAGAAAAACATTGGAAATTTAAACAACAGCAAAACACGTTTCTTTGTACTTTATTCGCAGAACTACGCAGCCAGGGCAGTACCGATTCTTTTTAATACCCCCAAAAATCCCTACTCAAATCATCAAGTTACCCAAAAAATACTAGCCAAATTTTCGTACCCAAAACAATCCCGGAATCGAAAATTTCAAACCCAAAAAATTCCTTCGATCATCCCCGTCACTTGAAATCCCGAGTACCCCCCGGGGCAAACCGAACGATACGACACACGAGGTTACAAAATGAAATGCGATTCCTAACTAGTATGTACTAGGAGTAATCGGAGCTTGGGGACGGACCATTAGAAAAGTTATGGGGGGCGAGGGGAATTTTCGAGCCGCAGGAATTTTTTTTTTCGTTATCAAATTCATTGTATGAATTTTTTCAGGCCCTTGCATGAATATTTCTTAGGGTTAATTGGCGTGCAAGAATTTTTTTTTCGTTAAATGTTCCCTTGCGCGATTTTTTTTTTTTGTACTTCGCCCGCCCCCCATAAGTTTTCTAATGGTCTGTCCCTTAGGAGAGTGCGTTCGATATGTTTGCTAGGCGTACAGGTAGCAGTTGAGGGGAAGGGGGGATGGTTCTTCCGATAGCTAACTATATGATTATGGCATATTTTGAAAGGGTTGCGTACAGCGAAACCTCGATTTAAACAGTGTATGATAATAAAAAAGGTTTTGAAGGCTAGTGATCAGCGAGATATCGTCCCGGGGGTGGGGATCCTGCCAAATATGGGCTATATATAGGTATGTGCCGCTGTGAAGGGTATGGTTTGTCTTAAGTGCTTGTTATTTGACTGAGGAGACACTGGCCAGAGTGCTAGCGCTTCGGGCGAGTAAAAAGAACTTTTGTTTTACTGGCGCAATAGATGTGCTACAGGTCACAGTTGTTCGAAGGCCGATCAGCGCTTAACAGGGGTTTCTTTTTCTTTTGTTAAAAACATTTCTTTGGATAATTTTCTCAGTTATTTTTAAGAGCGTCCAATCATCAACTTGTTGGCAAAATGAAGCTTTCACATCTGAGTTCGAATTTCGCACTAACCTCCTCGCCTGGGTTATCTTAACCCAGCATTGAACAACCCGGCCCAGGTACTGTTAAAGAGCAAACAGTCGACAAAGTTTTAGATGTAATCATTGCCTAATTTCATACCGCGCGGGAGCCTGGCACTACCGGATTTTCCCGGACTTTTTAAATCCCGGATTGAAAATGGCTTCCAAAATAGAAGGTATAAAGCAAAGGTCATTGCGTATAGTTGAAACGATATCAAGAGCCAGATTACTCCAGAAAGTTAATATTCTAAAGCTAAGAACAATTGTTTTACTGTTATAAAGAACCTCGCTTAAAAATTTCGAGAAAAGACAGATCTAATCGGAGACTTTCGCTACTTGGAAGTATTGGAAGGATTCCCGAATTGTTCGACAAAAAATTTGAACAAAGAACCGTCTAGTTTAGCTCTTTTTACGGCGCTGGATCCGACCGAATATTGGGGAACTCGGACAAGGGAGTGGGAATGGGTATACCTGTTTTTACAAACGCTTAAATAAAAACTACCAAATAGCGAAACACGCCGGAGTGACCCGAGTGAAAGGGTAACATTGTATATTAGGTCGGCAAGGCTTACATTAGATTTTCTCCCCGTCGCTGTGTACGGTCTCAGTAGAAATCCTAAAGATCAGACCGGAAACAATTCTCACTGAACATGGATAAAAGCAAGTATACTTCAGTCTTACTTGAGAGGTATTCCTCGTCCGGTGACACCGCAGTTCCTGTGATTTGGGCAATCAGCTCGTAATCACAAACAAGAATGTCACGTACATCTACCTTTTGGCTAGAATGCACTGAGTATAGACTAGTCCCTTATCTCCCTTCATGTGAACAGCACTAGGTTTAACATACATAACGCCACAAAGTTCACTATACTCAGTACCTTTCACGGACATAATAATACGGGAATAATCCAGGTAAGCCCTTGTGTACTGCCCTTTTAAGTTTTGCTCCAGCATGCTTAGGCTACGATCGGTACGTGCACAATCACATCTGTGTTCTTTCCTGCAATGATCCTCAACTTTTCATATGCGGGTAGAATTAAACACAGGATCCTTTGCTGTAGAAAATTTATAATCATGTTTGACATGTTTGGTTCTAGCGACCTGTTCACTTGCTGAGTGTCGGCTCCTTCAGTTTTGCTTCAGGGCATGGCAGAAATAGTGCATCCTTTCCTTCCTAAGTTTAGACAGATTCTCCGAGGGAATATTGATCAATATTTCTGCGAAAAAGATTGCTTTCGTTCGAGTTTTTACTCCGACTATCCGCCATTTGAAACTGGACTTTTTAAAAAGTCCGGGAAAATCCGGTAGTGCCAGGGCCCCGCGCGGTATGAAATTAGGCAATTAATTTAATTTAATGTTGGGAATTCCACATGTAGACGATTACTGAAATTTACTATGAAATGCCGGAAACCGTTACTGGCAAGTCTTCTTAACTTGTGATGATATTAAAGAACGACCTAAGACCACATTTTCGTGGTGAATGCAGGGGCACAATGATTGTGTTTGAACACTGGTTCACTTACACTACACCTCTCAATTTCACACGTTTCAAGGGAATCATCAAAGCCTTCAGTGGAATGTGTGTGCGGCTCACCTCAATAACTTTTCCAGTAGTTTGGTCGAGTGTATTGATTTCAGTGGCTTTTTTAATTGAGTAGCGCTACTGTGGGCTGGTCACGTTTTTCCGAATAAATAACATAGAGCTAAACTGTTCGTTTATCCAGTGCGGAAAATATCACAAGTCATGATGAAATGGTGCCGCCGAGCTTCACATCTCGGTAGATTTACTTTGTGGAATAACGGCCACCGAGCTACACAACTCAGTAGATTTAGTCTGTGGTACTACGGCCGCCTAGCTACACAACTCAGTAGATTTACTTTGTGGCATAACAGACGCTGAGCTTCACAACTCGTGATGTGGTGAAGATGAACGGCTTTGTGTTTAAGTGCTCCGCGTAACATTTCGTAAATTTCTGATGTTTAAGTGTTCCTTCTGCTTTTTTCTATTTGTTTTGTTATTATGTTTCGTGTGCCATATTATGCCTGAGTCTACTGCCAACCTAAAGAGAGAAAATAACGATGTCAAATCTAAAGTTTCAACATTAACGGAGGAGATTTCAAGACTAAAAGTCGAAGTCTCCCGTCTTATTAAGTTATTTAATACTTTAGGTTAGCCTCTCTTCGTAATCGTTATGTACTTGCCTTGTTTTATGTTAGTTTAAATTTTATTTACTTTATAGTAGTGTCTTCACTGTTATTTAGTCCATCTATATATAAATCTTGTTTTGTAATATGTCTTCAGCTCCCCCCGCCTGGATTAGTTTATAAGCTATTTGCGGGTGGGAAATTTAAAGTAATGTAATAAGTTATTTTCCAATTTTCAATAAAATTTGTTGTTGTTGTTGTTACTCGCTGGTAAATTTACTTTGTGGCACAACGCACGCCAAGCTACAAAAACCCGGTTTGATGCATGCACCAGGAGTAGCACGCAGTTTCCAAAGAAAAATATGAAGGCTTAATCCAAAGTAAAATTTTCCTCAGGGTGTAAACTTTCAGCACACTTTTGAAAGATGAACGCTTTGGAAGTTGCATTAAACACAGATCGATAGTAGACCTTCAGCAAACTCTTAAATATGTACGCTTTACGAAGATTCAGCACACTTTTAAAAGATAAACGATTTACGAAGACAGAATAGTAAACCTCAGCAAACGTTTGAAAGATGAACGCCGAGGACACACGAATCACCACGTGAGTTAGGACGTCAAAGTGAGGCAAAACGTAAGCAAGCACCTCAAAGCGAGGCAAATGTGTGTCGACGACGACGAAGAATACAATCTCGAAAAAACCTCCCTTATTAATTGCACAGTGTACTGTCGCACTTTGTAATAATCGTCGCACTTTGTAATACCTGTCGCACTTTGTAATAAAATTGTCACACTTTGTAATACCTGTCGCACTTTGTAATAACACTTGTCGCACTTTGTAATAAAAAAGCTGTCGCACTTTGTAATAAAAAAAGCTGTCGCACTTTGTAATAACACTTGTCGCACTTTGTAATAAACTTGAAATAGATGGTCGGAGGACAAGTAAACCCAGTAATAAGTGTCATCATCGACAACAACAACAACGACAATAATAATGATAATAATAATAATAATAATAATAATAATAATAATAATAATAATAAGGTTATACGCAAGTTGTGTGCGAGCTGGAATACTAAAGTAGTAGCTACAACAAGGCAAGGGCGAGAGACTTCTAGAAAAATAAGGTTCATGAAGGGTCTACCCCAGGGGGACGCTTTGTGTCCTAGACTGTTTACACTGTGCCTGAACCCTGTAGCGTGGCGCCTGCGGGCAACAGAGGGATACCGG